TCATCTCTTGTAAAATCAAAGGTGATACATGCCACACCTCAGAGACATCCTCTCTATGTGGGGTCAGGTCTGCGAACTATGATTAAGGGGGGATATGTTGCCTCAGATCACATGATAAGGGGTCATAACTGCTAGGTCACCAAGAAAGATGCCCAACCAAGCTGATGCATGTTGTGGGGAGACACAATACAACACATAACCCAGGGAACTTCCCCCCAAAGCCGCATCTGATTCCCTTCTCGGAACAAGAAAGAAACCACAGCAAGGCAGAGAGAGCTGCAGCTGGCTCTCACAGACAGCAGCGCTGAGCCAGGAGGGCTGACTCTTACTCTGGAACCTTCCAGTCTTTCCGGAACCTTCTAGTCTTAGAAAAACTGAGCCAAGTTTTTTTAAACTCACTTGAATTGCAGAGAATAGGAATATGAGTTAAGTGGCTCTCAGCAGTTGTGTGGGATTTTGAGGGGACCCTGTGCGACCTGTTTCCCACCCGCCTGGGGGGATGTCCCAGCAGAAGTGTGGGGTTTGAGGGACCCTGTGTGGCCTGGTTCCCACTCACCTGGGGGGGGTCCCCATTAGTGGTGTGGGGTTTGGGGAACCCTGTATGACCTGGTTCCCACCCACCTGGGGGGATGTCCCAGCAGTGGTTTGGGGAACCTTCCTGGGTGGGGCCTCCCAGTCCCCTTTCAGGAGCTGCACGCAGTTTCCTCAGGGAAGCGTCTCAGCTGAAGGTTGTCTGGGGTGAAGGCGTGGCCCCAGAGATGACCAGCAGCGGGCCCTGGCAATTGCTTTCCGGCAGCGTCCTCAGCCTGGAAGAACGCAGACAGGAAATCTCTCTTCAAAACCAGTTACTGCTGAGCTAAGGAACAGAGACACGTTCCCCCCACGCCTTCTCTCTGGGGGCGGGGTGGGCTGGGAGCTCCCATCCTCAGGGTCCAGAGCCGGCCGTCTCCAGTGGGTGGGAGGGGTCCTTCTGGACACAAGTGAGGATGACCCTCCCCTGATTCTCCCCGGAGTCGGGGAGTGGGCCCTTCCAGCTCTCGGAGAGCCCCCTAAAACAGCACTGATTAGCCAGATCCACAAAGTGGCTTCAAAACTGACTTCTATCTCTCTGCTGTTGTGTGTCCTTGTTTTGATTCAAAGCCAGGTGTGTTTGTATTTGTCCGTGTATGTGAATTAGATTGTTTTGGGGGTGGTGTGTACAAGGTGAGGGAGGAACAGGATACAGAAAGCGCAGATGCATCTTTATTCTGGAAAAATCTGTACACCATAAAGTCTGCCATTTTGACTACTTTTTTTTTTTAATTTAGGTTGTTTATTTTTCATTTCAACGAACATCTACAGAGATTGTGGAATTCCATTCATTCATTGTTGCACCCTTCTCCCCGCACAAACCCCTCTCCCCCCCACCCCCGTTTGCTCCTCTCCTTGAAAAGCAAAAGAAAAACTCCCTCATTGGTACACAATCCCCCCCGCACCTCTCCAAACCCCACCCCCTACTCCCAAATATAATCCACTCTGCAACCCTCATTGTGTACTCCTACGATAAAAATAATGCCCTAAAATATAATACTTTTAGACTATTCTCTCCCCCATAGACTTCAATGCTGTAAACATATTTCATCCAGTTTTTCTCAGACAGGCCATGGTATTTGCAATCACTTGTTATGCATCAGAGAGTTGGACAATGACTAGGAGGACAGAAGGAGAGTGGATGCTTTTGAGCTGTGGTGCTGGAGAAGGGTACTGAATGTACCCTGGACTGCCAGGAAAACAAACAGATTTATCTTGGAGAGGATTAAACCAAGCTACTCCTTGGAGGCAAGGATTCTGGGGCTTCGTCTGACATACTTTGGACATGTTGCCAGGAGGGACGGGTCCTTGGAGAGGGACATCATGCTTGGGAGGGTGGAGGGACGGCTCAGGAGGGGAAGACCCTCTATGAGATGGATTGATTCGGTGACTGGGGTAATCGGGATGGGTGTGTCAGAGGCGGTGCGGTTGGCGCAGGATAGAGCAGGGTTTAGGGCTGTTGTGCATAGGGTCGCTATGAGTCGGAAACGACTCGATGGCACATAACAACAACAACAAAATCCCCACCCCAATGCCAGCCTCATTCTACAACAGTGGCACCATATAGCATTTGTCCCTTTGTGACTGAGATACCTCACTCAGCATAATGTCCTCCATTTTGACTACTTTTAAGTGTATGATTGCTGCAGAGGGTCAAGGACTGCAGACTTCAATATGGATTGAGGCTCAATATCAAGAAGACAAAGATTCACCAGATGTTCTGCCGGAGAAGGAGGGACAATCTCCTCCTGTACCAGTCAGATCTGATTTGACGGTACATGCACAAAAAATAACTAAAAAAAAAGACAAAGATTCTCACCACTGGGCCGATTGGTAGCATCAGGACGGATGATGACAAGATTGAAATTGTTAGTAGCTTTAGTTTGTTTGGCTCCATAGTCAACATTCTTGGTACCAGCAGCCAGGAAATTAAATTTTTGTGATGGGAAAGTCTGCTGTTAGGGACCTTTCGGAGTGCTGAAGAGCAGTGGAATCACTCTCGAGACTTAAGTGCGCCTGATACAGGCCATGGTCTTTGCAATCACTTGTTATGCATCAGAGACTGGACAATGACGAGGGATGATAGAAGAATTGATGCCTTTGAGCTGTGGTGCTGGAGAAGAGTATTGGATATACCATGGACTGCTAAGAAAATGAACAAGTTTACCCTGGAGAGGGTGAAACCAGGCTGCTCCTTAGAGGCAAGGATTCTGAGGCTTCATCTGACATACTTTGGACATGTTGCAAAGAGGGACCAGTCCTTGGAGAGGGATGTCATGCTTGGGAGGGTGGAGGGATGGAGCAGTAGAGCAAGACCCTCGATGGGATGGATTGATTCTGTGACTGGGATAATCGGTGTGGGTGTATCAGAGGCAGTGAGATCGGCCCAGGATAGAGCAGGTTTTAGGACTGTTGTACATAGGGTCGCTATGAGTCGCAGGCAACTTGATGGCACATAAAAGCAACAAAGTGAATGGTTTAGTGACGGTCTCTTGAACCTCTCAGGTTTGTACTGCATAGGTCCACACATGTTTGCATAATGGCCTAGTGATAAGAAGCTACGCTGCAATCCCAAAGGTAAGTGGTTCGAACCCACCAGCTGCTCTGCTGGAGAAAGATAGGCAGTCTCTTCCCGTGTGATCTACAGCCTCTGAAAACCCGCTGCTGTCTCGTAGTGACGCCCCATCAGGTCTCCGAGGTTCTAAACCATTATGGGAGGAGACTGCCTGTCTTTCTATCACAGAGAGGCTGGTGCATTTGAACCACTAACATTCGGTTTAAGCACTGTCGCAGCGCCCTTGCCTGTAAAGAGTACAGCTTTGGGAACCCGAAGGAGCAGTTCTCTGTCTTGTGAGTCGGAATCGACTCGACAGCGATGGATTTGGTTTGTGAGGGGGGCGAGGTGGGGCCTCCAACACCTTAGTGGGGCCCTGTTTTCCTTTAAATCAGCCTCGCTTTATCTGAACATGGGCCATCCCCTCCCTCACACCCCTCCCGTGTCTAATGCCCCAGCACCTCCCCCAGGCCTCACACACCATCCCTCAGGCCATTCATTGCACTGCCGGGATGCTGAAATTGGAGCCAGAGTTCCCAATGCTCCTTTCCAAGTCTGCCTCTGACTTGGAACACTCAGTTTTTCCACCTATAAAATGGGACACTATCAGCTCTGAGGGCAGGGCCTCTGTCTGGTCATATACAGCCCTGCTCTGACCCCTGTGTGCAGGCGCCCTACCTCACATGGGCCAACTCAGAGCAGCTGGCTCACTTCTGAGGGGCCCTTGCCTCTGCTGCTGCCCGCTGGAGCCTGGTAGCTTGTCAGGCATTGGGGGGCGGGGGGGTTGGACCAAGCAAAGGTTGTTTTGTCCAACATGTTTTTCTGTTTAGTTCTTCACGTACGCTGCATATAAATGGTCATCCATGTGTGTCTGACCTGTTCATACTGAGGTCCACAGGTGCTGGTGTGGAAAGGGCATGTCATTGCTCATTACCGAGACCCCTGGGGCTTTCCCACTCTGCAGGGTGGGATTGCCTCCCTCTTTGCAGCCCACCACCCCGTCAGGCAGCGGGGCTCAGGACATGGTGGGGGCTCGCCTGCCCCCTGTGGTTCAGGTAGACTTCCAGATCCATGAAGAAGGCACTTCTCTAAACCTCTTCAGCATCATAAGCAGAAGAAAAGCGTCGTATGCCCTCCCACGCTGAGCGTTCTCAGCCCTTTCATTCTGGAGATGAATCACACAGGGTTAGAGTAGGCCTAGAGTAAGCCTCCTTTTCCCTGACAGTTCGCGTGTCTCAGGCCAGGGCCAGGGTCCTGCAGGCTGAAACTTGGCTAGTTGGGCCTGGCTTCGTCTCCAACAAGGCCATGGTGCCCACCCAGTGCTGAGGGTGCCCAGCCCATGAGAACATCTAGTCCCACAGATGACACAGCTGTGCTCAGCGAGGCGTCCCACACACGCCCAGTGCTGTCAGGTCCATACAGACACTCGGTGTCCAATCCATGCTGGGGACAGAGAAGATGGCTGGGTCTTTGGGAAGTGATTGATCCTGAGCCTTAATTTCCTCATCTGTAAAATGGGTTCACTGCTACATCCTCATTGTGCACCTGTGCCCTGGGAAGTGACTTATCCTCTCTGAGCCTCAGTTTCCCACCTTTACAATGGGGTCACTGTCACCTCCCTTACTATGTGGTGGTGCCCAGGCCTTGGGGCTGAGCAGGCCCTAGAATTTTGAGGACATACTTCGCTCCTTCACTCGCCTGGATGGGGCTGGTGGAGGGAACGAGCCCTTCTAGTAGGAGGTATGCCCTCTCATTGATGTCACCATTCCTGTCCTTGTGACACCTGATTCTGAAGCTGTTTTCCCAGGAGGGCTTGGGCAAAGCAGGGTGGACACTGCACTGCTGGCCAAGGCACTAACTCTCTCTTCCCGAGCAGGTCCACAACGTGGCGTTCGCCTTTGAGCTGATGCTGGACGGAGGCCTCAAGAAGCCAAAGGCCCGCCCAGAAGGTAAAGCCTCTCACAGGGTGCAGGGCTGGGTGGAGCTGGGGGAGAGAGTGGTGAAAGCGGGCGTGGAGGTAACGGTAGCCGGAGGGGCGCAGCCAGAGCAGAGGCCACTTTCTGCTGACCTCGTGTTCTCATCCTGGGGCCGGTGACTGTGCCAGCAGGGTCCTCAACGCCTGGCGTTAGCAGCACTGGTCTCTGGAAGGTGACCAGTACCCTTGGCGCTCTCAGCCTGGGGGTCTTAAAACAGCAGACAATGCCCTTTCATGCCTCAAAAAGGAATTAGACATAGATTTTGTAAATGTTGGGGTGATGGCGTTTGGAGTCCACTCCCTGAAGAGGTGGGGTGGGAGTGGGGGCTGGGGCGGGAATGTCACCCTAGTGTCTGGCTCCTATTCTAATATGCTTAGAAGGGTCTTCTCTAACCCTGGAGGAAGAAGGTGGGGTTTGCCCTCACCCATGATTCGGGAGGCATGGGGTGGGCACACACTTTTCGAGTCAATCAGGTATCCAAGTGGGTGGACATTCCTGGATGGTGCTCCCACTGTGGGCACTGCTGGGAGCTGGGGCACGGGCACCATGATGGGAAGCTGAGCAGCGGTCACAAGGGCAAGGCGCCAGTGCTCAGAAGAGGGTCTGCTTGACCCCAAGTCAGAGGAGCCGAAGTTGGTGCTGAGGGGAGACTCGATAGAGGGTGTGAGATGACAGTGACCAAGACAGAGGCTGGAGGCACGGGTTTTGCCCCAGTATGAACACCAGGTCAGGGACAGGGCCTGGACGAAGGGGGGGAATTTAGCAGCAGGTGTAGGAAAGGGGATGGTAGCTGGCCTGGGCCTGGGCGTGGCCAGTCTAGAATAGCCAGGGGTGCTTGTGGGCGGAGACAGGCTAGGCTGTGGCTGGTTGCAGGGTGGGCGTGGTCACCACTAAGTGGGCGGGACTGGTTTTAGAGTGGGCGTGACCACCATTGAATGCATGGGGCTGGCTGTGGAGTGGGCGTGGTCACAATTAAGTGCGGGGCTGTTGTAGAGTGGGCATAGTCACCACTGAGTAGATGGGCTGGTTGTGGTTTGGGCGTGGTCACCACTGAGTGGGTGTGACCGACTGTGGGTGGGCGTGGCCACAGCTGAGAGGGCGGGACTGCCAGTTGGATGGGCGTGGTCATCGTTAAATGGGCGGGGCTAATATGGGCTAGTGACCACTGGATGGGGTTGATTGTGGAGTGGGTGTGATCACCACTGGGTGGGTGGGACTGGCTGAGGGTTGGACGTGGTCACCACTGAGAAGGTGGGGCTGGCTGTGGGGTGGGCGTGGTCACTGCTCAGTGGATGGGGCTGTTTGTGGGGTGGGCGTGGTCACCACTGAGTGGGTGTGGCTGGCTGCCTGGTGGGCGTGGTCAGGGCGGGGCTAGGCAGTCCCTGCTGCAGTCTGTTTCTGGCTTGGGGATCTATCTGGTTCTCGTCTCCTGGGAGCATCATCACCTCTGGGTATCTGCAAGCTATGGTGTCCCCTCTGCCGCCTGGCATCGTGTCCACCCATCACTGCTGGGGCTCAGTTCCTGCGGTGGGGTGGTTCTTCAGCCCCCAGGGTCCCCTCCTGCCTCTTCAGTGAGCAGCCCCCAGCCTTCACCTTTACTCCAGGATAGCGGACAGAAACACGACCTTCCAGACTGTGAACCTAGAAGGGAGTCCGTCAGGCTGAGGGGCTGGGTGACATGTGCCCACATTGGTGTCCTGCCCATCTTAGTCTGAAAGCCACACTGAAGTTTGTTCAGCATTGCAACAAACACGCAAGCCTCTCCTGACAGGAGAGTGGTGACTGAAGGAGGTGCGTGGGCTGGGAATTGAACCCATGTCTTCCAAATGGAAGGCGAGAATTCCACCACTGAGCCCAGTGTTCCACACCTCACACACCCCCGGTTCAAGAGAACCCAGTTCAAACAGGGAGCCCGCTGTCAGCCCGCTGTCCCTGCTGACTGGGGGTGCTCTGGCCTCAGGGCAGGTGCTCCTTTGGGCACTTCCTGCCACCGTCGGGGGAGGACACTGGGCCCACAGTCTCTCTGCTTCCTTCTACAGATGTAGTGAACCTGGATCTCAAGTCCACCCTGAGGGTCCTGTACAACCTGTTCACCAAGTACAAGAACGTCGAGTGACCGAAGACACATTGCAGAGAATGTTCCAGAAAGAAGCTGCCTGCCCCCGTGCTTCCCCAGGGGACGCCTGCGGCTCCCAGCCCAGGCCGTGTGATCCTGTCCCAGCACCCTGCCTTTCCCCTTGTTCCTAACCTCCTTCTCATACTCCTTGGTGGGGAAAAGCCTTTGAACACACAGCATTTTCAAAAGTGATGTCTTTGTGTTTGAATGTCAGTCGTTCCTGGATGCTGACTCAGTTGTTTTCTGCTTTGATCAAAAGATGAATTAAAAGACTTGAAAAAAACAAAACCCCAAACCCCAAACCTAAACCTCCCAGCCCATCAGCAAGCGGGCTTGCACCCTGAGTTCTGTTCCACAGAGCAATTAGAGGTTGCAGACATTCCAAAGCCACCATTCGGAAACTGTCAGGAGCCGTGGGCTTGAGGATTCGAAGGAGGCCAGGGTGGGGGTGCTGCAGGGGGGTCACCCCACTGTCCTTGGAAGGCCTTTTTAATAGCTGCAATTTTGCAGTTTTGACAACATTGTTGTGCAGAGTCAGGCACTTTTAACTCTCCCAGCGCTTCTTGGCCCCTTGGGGCTGTTTTCTTGGAGCTTTTGTGCAAACATCCAAGACCCTTGTTGACCTAGCTGCCAGGGTCCCAGTGAGGAGGAGCACACAGCCTGAGGACACCCCAGAATCTCTTGCTGGGGCTCACGGGGTTGTTATGTGCTGTTGAATCATAACTAACTCAGAGCTGACCCTCCAAGGGGTTTTCAAAGGCTGTAAATCGCACGCGAGATTGCTTCCCTTTCTCCCGCCGAGCAGCTGTTGAATTCGAACTCCTTACTCACTAGGCCTCCAGAGCTCCCTGCTGGGTGGGAGGGAGTCAGCTTGAAGGAGATGTTTGGTTTCCTGCTGCTGTGGGGTGCTGTGGAGTCAATTCTGAGTCTCGACAATCAATCCTGTGTGTGCAGAATAGAATGGTTTCATGGGGTCATCAACGCTGTGACTTCTCAGAAGCAGATTGTCAGGACTCTTTTCTGACGCACCTCAGGCTGGGTTCAAACCGCCAACCTTTGAGCTAGTTGCCCGGCATGTGCTACTTGGCCGTTGCTGTCAAGTCGTTGCCACAGCAGCTGTAAAGGATGGAGCACAGCTGTCCTGTTTGGCTTCTGAGGCTGTAAATCTTGACAGGAGCAGACTGCCTCAGCCTCCTTCCAAGGAGCAACTGATGGGTTTGAACCCCTGTCCTTGCCGTTAGCAGTCCAACTCTTAGCCCACTGCACCATCAGGACTCCTTGCCCTGCAAGGGCCTTCCTTATGTGTACTGTTTGGGGCTGCTGGAATCCACTTCTTCCACCTCCAAGATCTTGTCTGGGAAAGGGTACTTATTTAGAGACTTTGTATAAATGGAAGGAGGTGTCTTCGTTTCTTATTGAGTGCCATCGAGTCGAGTATGACTCCTAGTGACCTTGTGAACAATAGCTCTGAACCCTGTCCTACCCTGTGCCGTCCTCACAATCTCTGACACACTTGAGCCCATTGCTGCAGTCACTGTGTCAGTCCACCTGGTTGAAGGTCTTCCTCTCCTTCACTGTCCTCCACCTTTGTAAACACAATGTCCATCTCCTTCCTTTCTTAGTGTTGCTGTTACCAAAAAAAAAAAACAAACCAAAAAACCCTACAAATGAGCAGTTTTAAAGAATAGAACTGTTTTGTCTTGCAGTCTGGGAGACAGGAATTCTGAATTCAGGACATATCTAGGAGGGAAGACTCCTCTCTGTGGACTCTGGGAAAGGCTCTTCCAGCATCTGTAGACCTTGTTCCTTGATTCTTTGGCGATCTCCACATGGCCAGTACCTCCTCCATTTGTGCCGGCTTCTCTCTGTTGTCTAACAGCTCTTCATAGATCGAGACAGTAATTGTTTTAAGGCACTCCTTACAGTGGCAGGCCACAGCCCTGTTCCCACGTGGACAGCCAGCCACACACATGCTGTTGTTGATTGCTGTGATGGATTTGAATTGCATCCCCCAAAGTGTGTGTCAACTTGTCTGAGCCTTGAAATCCAGTAGATATAGTTACTCTCCGTTTTGTGATCTGATGTAATTCCCCGTGTCTTATAAGTCTTACCCTCTATCCCATTGATGGGGCAGGATACAATCTACAGGATTAAGTTATAGCAGCTCTTTTGAACCAATCTCTTTTGATATAGGAAAGAACTGAACAAATGAGCAGAAATCAGAAGACTCTACTACCTCGAAGAAAGAAAAGCCAGAAGTGGAGTGTGTCCTGTGGACCTGGGGCCCCTGTGCTGAGACCCTCCTATTCCTCTAAGAAATAAAAGCCAGAAGTGGAGTGTGTCCTGTGGACCTGGGGCCCCTGTGCTGAGACCCTCCTATTCCTCTAAGAAAGAAAAGCCAGAAGTGGAGTGTGCCCTATGGACCTGGGGCCCCTGTGCTGAGACCCTCCTATTCCTCTAAGAAAGAAAAGCCAGAAGTGGAGTGTGTCCTGTGGACCTGGGGCCCCTGTGCTGAGAACCTCCTGTTGTTGTTGTGTGCCCTCTGAGTCAGAACTGACCCACAGCTGACCCTCCAGCAGGTTTTCAGTGGCAGTTGATCATACAGGAGAAGATTGCCCCTCTTTCTCCCACAGAGCAGCTGATGGATTTGAACCACATGCCTTTGTGTTAGCAGCATAATTCCTTACCACCAAGCCACCAGAACTCCCTCAAGAACCTCCTAGACCCAGGAGATGATGCCAGGGAGTGAAAGGAGACCAGGACCTTCTTCACAACTGACAGAGAGGAAGCCTTCTCCTTGACCTCACAGCCTGAATTTGAGCTTTAAGCCTCCTGAACTGGTGGTGGTGGTGGTGATAGGCGCTGCTGAGCCGAGTACAACTCACAGCAACCCTACGGACAACAGATCTGAACTCTGTTCTATCTGGTGCCATCCTCACACTTCCTGACACACTAGAGCCCACTGCAGCAGTCACCATGTAAATCCACCTGGTTGAGGGTCTTCCTCTCCTTCACCGACCCTCCACCTTTCCCAGCTTTATGTCCTTCTCCAAGGAATAGCCCCTCCTAGCAACATGTCCAAAGTCAAAGCCTCGTGATCCTTGCCTCCAATGAGCCCTCTGGCTGCACCATCTCCAAGACATACACTTCTGTTCTCCAGGCCGTCCATGGGATATTCAGTGCTCTTCTCCAGCATCACAGTTCAAAGGCATCAGTTCTTCTGTCATCCTTATTCACTGTCCAGCTCTCAGATACATAGCAAGTGATCAGAAAGACCATCTCATTAATCAGATACATTTTGGTCCTCAAACTAACATCACTGCTCCTCAATTATTTGGAGAGGTCCCTAACTGCAGACTTTCTCCCGTACAATACATCTCCTGATTTCCTAACTGCTGGTACCAAGAGTGTTAATTGTGGATCCAAGTAAGATGAAGTTTTTCACAGTTTCCATCTCTTCTCCATCCATCATGATGTTGACTATTGGTCCAGTGGTAAGAATCTTTTTCCCCCCTTGACGTTGAGATTCAATCTATATTGAAGGCTGCATTTCTTGATATTCTGTAACAAGTGCTTCAAGTCCTCATTTTCAGCAAGCAAGGTTGTGTCGTCTTAACAGCACAGGTTATTGATGAGTCTCCCTCCAATCCTGATGGCATATTCTTCTTCACAGAGTCCAACTTCTCAAATAATTTGCCCAGCATGCAGATTGAATAGGTATGGAGGGAGAATACAACCTTGACACACTCCCTTCTTAATTTTAAACCTGAACTGTGAGAAAAATATGTTTCCATTTGTTAAAGCCATTCCCCTTGTGGTATTTCTGTTATGGAAGCTGTAGGTAACTAGACACTGTCCTCCAGACAATTTGGACATGTACAAAGCAGAGCTGCCCCCTAGGGTTCTCGAGACGGGGACCTTTCAGAAGCAGACTACAAGGCCTACCTTTCCCAGTGCTTCTGCATGGGTTTGAACCACCAAACTTGCCACTACTACTTGAGTGCATACCTGCTCACATGACTTGGAATTCCTTCCACAGCTGTGAGGATGCTGTGAGGGTGACGATGCTGCCTAATTTGTCTGGTGCTCCTGGAAGACAGTGGCTTGCTCTGGTGGCTTGGTGGTAAGGAATTGAGCTGCCAATGCCAAGGGGTGTGGTTTGAATCCACCAGCTACTCTAAGGGAGAAAGACAGTTTCCTCCCATGAAATTTACTGGCTCTGAAAACCCACTGGAAGGTCAATTCCAACGTGACAGTACACAGTAATAACAACTCTAAGATGGTGACCATTACAGTGGGCTCCACGGCAGAGGAAATGGGATGGTAGGAGAGGATAGAGTCGTATCTTGTTCATAGGGTCCCCGTGAGTCATAGTTGGCTCGACAGCACTTAATAACAGCAATAGAACAGAAAAGCTCCGGTGTCTTAATCAGCAGAGAGCATCACTGCTAATCCAAATGTTGTGCCTCTCGGTGACTTCAAGCTCACCAGCTGCTCCTTGGAAGAAGGGTGGGCAGTCTCCTCCTCTGTGATTTACAGCCTCTGAACACTCACTTGAAGGGGCAGCTACGAGTCCATTCTGACTTGACGGCAATGATAGTAAGTGGAAACTATAAGAGAGCTATCACAAATGAATGTTTTTGACAAATGGAAGTCTACTTTCTCACAGTTGAGGAAGGTAGGGGCCCGCGTCCAGAGTGCTGCCTCTTTGGGAAGGCTTCCTGTCTGTGTGTCCTGGTCCCAGGATTTCCCTGCACAGGGACCTGGGTCCAGAGCGCACACTGGACTCCCACCTCTGCTTTCCTGGTGGCAGTCAGGTCCCTCCTCCTCTGCCTACTTGTCTCTCATTCCATTTCTTGTAGGATAAAAGGCGACGCAGACCACCTCCAGGGACACTCCCCTTCCATCCGCTCAGGGCTGTGAACTGAGAATGGGTTGTACACTGCTTTAAGCCCTTTGCCACCCACTAACTGATGGCACCAGATCACACACATCCTGAC